CTTGCCCCGCCATATGTGCGTTACACGATATTTGCACAACGAACGGAACTAAACCAGACTGATGGAAAGATAATCATAAAGGCGAGGTGGTTGGTTGGCTGAGGAGGAAGGGAAAGAAACAAAACAAGAGAACGAGGGGATGATGGCGAAGAGGATCTTTATCTCCTCGGGTCATTTTTGATATCATTTCATAAAACGATCTGATAGACTCGTTTCTTGAACAAACAAGCTGTGAAAGTGGGGAAGAGATAAGAACCTCCACGTCCACCGGCATACTAACTAATGTTCATCTTCATCCTCTCCTCCGTGGTTTCGTTTCGTGGGTGGGTGGACTGGGTATGATGGACTTTTATGATCTTTCATGGTGCCAGCTATCTAGCAAACTGATATGGAGTTAAGTAAGTAACTACACTATTATTTTGGTTGGAAGATGGGATGATAGGAAATTGGGTACACTTTGGAGAAAGAAAAATACAAAAAATAGGTCTTATTTACTAATTTAAGTAGTTTGTAAATACCATAAAATTGGGAAATATTATTATAAATCGTTGATAATTACTGTATAAAATGTGGCACAAAAGTAGATAACAGTAGTCCCAATTATCCCAAATATCATAAAATTGGGAAATGTAATTCCAAAATTTTGGAATTTATGAGATAAAATATGACACAAAGCCAGATATCAGTTAGTCTCATCCAAAATGTTTCATTTACAAATTTAACCATCTTATAAATACCTCACAAAATTGGGAAATATTACTTAAAAATTTCCACAAACTTATTCGACAAGAAAAATAATATTGTAATCGTCTCTTTGTTAGTCACGATTACACATTTCCGACACAACCTGTCCTCCCTGAATGACATAATGGATCGACAGGTTACAAAAAAATAAGAAATAAACAGAGAAATTCAAAATGCCCCGTTTATGCAAGATTGGATTCCAGCCATCCCTACATCTCTGCAGCACACGTTCGTATGCACATTATTCCGAGCTTGTTATGGTCGTTTGTTCCAGAGATGTAAACCTTTTCCGGATAATTTAATGCAATATAATACCACTCCTTCTTCTCCTTTGGAGGAAATGGAATAGGATCGAAAATCGAATATGCCATCGTTTGTATCACGATCAAATAAAATGGGGGCTGACTGAACTCAACTTCTTTCTCTCTGCTAAACTTCGCTCGAGCACAGTGGCCGCGGAAGGGTGAGGGGACAAAAGAGGGACAATGTCCCCACGGTTATTTTATGTCCTTATGATCTCCCCATGTTATATAAACCTTTCTCTCCCCTATCCTAGGATGTTAAAGTCCCCACATGTCCCCCTAGCTTCCGCGGCCACTTGATACTCAAATGTATGTGCATGATGCAGTGGCCGTGGAATTGTGTGGACAGAGGGACAATGTCCCCACGGTTATTCAATATCCCCATCATCTCCCCATCTTATATAAACCCCTGCCTCCCCCTGTCCTACAATATTAATGTCCCCCGATGTCCCCCCAGTTTCCGCGGCCACTGCACCGAGCAGCTCAATTCTTTTGTAAACTGTAAACCTAAACTGAACTAAATCGCTCTTTTCGTTCACTGCTTTCTTTCTTTACTTCCATTCCAATTTTTCTCTTCCCAAACAACAACAAAAACATTCAACATGTTTTTTTTTCGCAAGATTTTGTTTGCCTGCTCTTTTTTCGGGGGTATTTATTGGTTGGAGCAGTGTGCGTACGACATGACGTGACCCACCTATTTTTTCAGCCATGAAATAAATATTTATTGTTGGAGATCTCGTATACAAACGACAAGATCAGATTTGTGTGTGTATGTGTAAGAGAATTGGGACATGTTGTCTAAATCGGGAGTGGAGTGGAGTGGAAATTGATATTTTTTCGGATAAAGTCAACGTTTTTTGGTAAATTTAGAATTGCACACATTTTTCCATACGTATGAACCTGTTGGTAAAATGTGAAAAACGAAATTTTAGACTTGAAATAGACCCAAGTGAAAGCTCGGCTAAAATTTTTTGGAAAGAATTTTACCAAGAAATTTTTACCTGGTAGTAAATTGCGAAAAACGGAAAATGTTACACTTCAAATCGCCTCTAGTGAAATCAATGCCAAAATTTCTAGCAAAAAATTGTACGCATTCATTTGTACCTGTTGGTAAAATACGAAAAACGTGAAAATTTCCCCCCTACAAATTGTCTTAAGTGAAAGCTTGGCCAAAATTTTTCCCTGGATTGCATTTACTTCATCCTTCTTCCTATTAGTTTCCCTCTCTCCCACGGATTTTGGAGAGAGAGAAAGAAATCGGAAGTAAAAAAAAGTGTAACGTGTCCATGAAAACTTGGTCGGTCACCAGACGCCCAAGTAAAAAAGCAAGCAGTGAGCAGTGAACTAAACTCAATCTATTCTGCAGTGGAGGAATGCAATCCCATTTTTTCCGCTCCGATCCTCCAGCAATTTATCTTAACTTGGAGCCACGGCCAGCCAGCCACCTACATTCGTACGTACACAGCAGCTCCTTAGTCGCCGTGGATATGTTATGAGACAGGAAACGAAATGAAACCATGTTATGTTTAGTTATTTTATAGAGATGATGTTTTGTCCAGGCCAGTCCAGGGACTGTTTTGCTGGTGGGACTTGATTTTTTTGGCATAGCATGAAAAAAACGACCCAAAATAGGGATGCAAACCATGTTCAACCCAGATTATTTATTGACTATGTAAGTTTGAAGGAGCAAATCATTTAGCGCGGCACTTGTGCAGATGCGAAAAATTCAGCAAATTGTGGGCGTGCAAGTTTGCGAAAACTCTCTGTTTTCCAGCGGAATCTGTACCTGCAGCAGCAGATCCGCGTTTTCGCAAACTTGCGGCACCCAAAATTTGCTGAATTTTTCGCATCTGCTCAAGTCCCGCACTAAATCTTGTTTCTAAAGAGGTGCTCTTTCAAACTAACATGGTCAAAAAATAATCTGGCTTGAACACGGTTTGCGTTCCCATCGGTGGAAACCTAGTCATGCGTGCGTTAATTTAAAAATAGGCTAAAAATATGTCCGTCCCGCCATCAATTTTGCATTAAGGGACGGAACCCGGCCTGATTTCCCTCCTTGAAAGAAATTCGCCTACTTACTCAAGATTTCGCAAACGTCTCGATTACAAAACCCGGCCACATTATAAATATCATAACTAGTCGGTTGCATAACTGCTCTTTTACATAGCAGCAGCGACACCACTTCGGTCTGAGGAGGAGGAGGAGGGCAAACAAGCCCTTATTATTGGTTGGTGAATTGGACTGCGGATATTTCTGTGCTCTTTCTTCCGCATCATTGCCACGCACGGGAGCTCGAAAGCCAAGTCGAATCTGCGTTTGACTTTCTCTTTTTCATCGGATTTGAATCATTCGGAATCCGTTGTGCAATTCTCGAGTTGAAAATCAAGATTCTTTTTTTTCCTGTATTGAATGTGACCTTTTACTCGGCTGGCAAAGGAAGGAAGGAATGTTGACTGAAATTGGGAGGAGGTTCACGGCACGGGAGAAATTTTGGCGTTGGTATTTTTCAAAATGTGGTTTGCTTCAGTTCACACGAGGAGAGGTAGATGTATGTAGCTAAAAGTAGGGTTTCGTTTCGGGCGGGATTGCTTAAATTTGTTGCAGTGCAAAGTGATAAATGCAAGAAATGAAAGGTGCAAGAAGCTGGGAGAAAGTGCAAGAAATATTCACAATCTAGCGAGTCGCTAGATTGTGAATATTTCTTATGAATATGGACAGGTCGCTAGTAGCGACCCGTCCATAGCGGCAGGGAGTATGGTTTGATTTTTTAAATCAGACTTTTTTACAGCTTAGGAAGGACAGTCGCTTATTTAAAAAATCAAACCATAGTTTCCTGCACCTTGCATTTCTCCCAGGTCAAAATATTTACCTGTAGAAGAAACCACTTTCTCCCCATTATTTCTTGCACGTGGTTACTCGAAACACTGCCTGCAACCTACCTCTGCCTCTGCCCATTTTACTTTACTTTGCATCCAATGAATATTTAATTTGGGTTCGACTTGTGCCATGTTAGTGTGTTCCTCGTTAAAGTATCAGATTCCTCGAGTAGTTGACTGCACTTGCGAAATTTTAGGAGTTTCTAGTATTTCTAGGTCTAGCTCGTGGCCTGTTCTGGAAATTATTATTACTGCTCCGCTACGGGACAGAATGTAGTGAGTAAGTAATCGATCCGTTCAAGATTTTCAAATGGGGACACACGAGAGTAATTTCGCTCGAGAGTGATGTTTGCTTAAGTGGGTACAAACTTTGTGAACTTCAATTATGATACAGGTATGTATGTAGGGACATGTGCCTAAGTGGTAATTGTGGTAAAACCTCAAAATTACAGTCGTCTGCAATAATTTTGTTTTGTGGGAGAAAGAAAGAATGCTGACCTAATCAATAGAGAGACATTAGTAAAATAATAATGTGGTTGAGGCTATTTAGCCAACAGATAGGCTGAAGTAGGGGAAGGAAAGTGGTTATTAGGAGGGAGGGACCTAGTAATGCAAATGACCTTTTGACCTAGAGCAGGTCGGAGGAGGAAGTCTGTCGTAGTTTAAAAATTAGATGCCGATATGGAAAACACAAATTTTAAAAAGTTGAGAAAGTTATGGTCTAACGGACGGACAAAACGATCGCATCGGTAAGTACCCTTTCTCTCGTTAAACATTATTCTCCACTGGATTTACGAAGGAAAATGCCGATATGCAAAAACAGAATTTTAAAAAGTTGATGCATTCAAGAGTTTCATCTATGAACGGACGGACAAATCGATCGCAGTAAGTACACTTCCACTCATTACCAAATTTTTGCGTCTCGACCTCTGTAAATGAATTCCCATTTCGATGAAATTTTGTAAGACGATGACTCCAAAGCGTGATGACGACTTGATGACGAATGATGGTGACTTAAGACTCCGCATATTTTTAGGAAGCGAGAGAGCGCGAATTTTAAAAAAGGTTCGTAACTTACCCGTCGCGAAGGAGGTGGACACCCCAAAAATGACAATGGCCAAAAGCCAGGTCCCTGCCCAGACCCGGGGTCTCATGCCCTGTTCAGGGCACCGGCCAAATAATGGCCCCCGTGCTTTGGATGGGGATATGGAATTTTGACCCGGCTATTGAACCCCAAAAAGAAAAATAACCCCAAATAATTAGAAGAAATGGTGAGATGATCTTAATTCTAGGTAAAGCTAAATTTAGAAATAACTTAATAAATAACACTAATTAAACGGTAAAACACGGTTGATTGAGGTATTTATTTTCAAGGTGTAGAAGAGAACCACACGGTCACTTATTTATTTATTTACTAAATACGTCTGTCTTCTCATGATGATGACGCAAAATATTAATTGCATCATTAGCCGAATTATTAAGTGTTCATTTACATAATAAACATAACAACAGTCTTCTTTTGTTACAATTGTTACGTAATCCAAGAAACTGAGGTCATTTCTCTTAAACGAAATGATGATTAAATTTTTGTTGCGTAATAATTGAACTAATTTGTTTCCCGTTTTCTTTTCTTGTACGGGTTAAATTTCTTGAGGTATTTAGATTCAAATTTGGCAATTGTTTTCACAAAGAAACTAATTTTTTGCAACTTTTTTTTCCACAAATTTATTTTTTAAAAGTTGAGCACGAAATGAACGAATTATTATTTTTTCTTTGAAAAAATTGTGCAATGGCCTCGTTCCTTGCTTTCCTTCCGTCTCGAATTTATTTTTCTTTTCTGTATTCTTGCTCAAATTGGCCTCGAGTAGAAAAAATTGAGTTTGTCGATCCGACGAGAAAACTTTTTTGTAGAGATTTTAGTGCATTTCTAGAAAACAGATGCACATCCAGCTGCTGGCACCGAAGAAAAAAACTTTTTTCTATCCAGACGAAAACGAGACGTACAAATAAATAAATTTATTTATTTATCGTCGTCTCAACTTGCACCGAATTCGGGGACACAATAATAATGCAAAACAATGCAACTCATCACCTTCACCGAAAAAAACACGGAAACAACAACACTATTTTCGTCCCCAGACACTTTTCCTTTCTTCCTTTCTCTCACTCACTTTCTTTCCCAGATAAGAAACAAATAAGCTCGATTTGTTGTCACTCAGAGGAAAAGAGAAACCGAAAACCACGAAATGCTGATGCACCAACCACTTTTTTCACTCAATCACTCCTCTTCCGACTTCTTTCACTTTTTGGAAAAAATAAAATTTTTCTGAAACCAGAAACTTTCAATTTCTTGTTGATTTGATTTGATAATTTCCGTAAGTAAAAGTGAACCCGTTTTTTGTGTCTATTTTTCGTGGAGAGTGCGAGAAAAGAGTGAACCCACTCGTCGTAGTGAAGGCTAGAACTACACTGAGGAGCAGTTGGGAATTGTGAGCCCACAAGTAAAACCCGACTGGCAGGAGGACAAAGTGAGACGATGCCTGTATTTTCCTCAACCACTCTCCGAACCGAATCTACCCTCCATTTACTTTACTATAGTTATGTAATCCAAACGTATGCCAAATGTGAGAGTTTTGTGAAATTATATAATTTTTTTCGCTCTCCAGAGTTTTTAAACATTTTTAAAAAATGTGAGAACTTGATATTCGAGATTTTCTCTGCATTTTTTGTTTAAATTGGTTTTTCAGAGTTCCTTTCGTTCAGTGTTTCGGGTGAAAAAGTAACCAGCTGCAAGAAATAGCAGGGAGAAAGTGGTTTTTTGCAGGGGAATATTTTGACCTGCAAGAAATGCAAGGTGCAAGAAACTACGTCCCGCCGCTATAAATACTTCATACGGCGCGTGGCTATAGTTTGTATTTTAAAATTAGACCTTTTTTGGTATGCTATTTTTATAAAGAAAACGGTCTAATTATAAAATATGCACGTTAGATTGGCCCATATTTCTTGCACTTTCTTGCAATTTCGTGCACCTCGCGTTTAGTGCAAGAAATGTAACAAAACCCGTAACGAAACACTGCTTTCTTTCTTTTTTCACTATCCAAATATTATAATAGTCAAGTTCAAAGTTTTTATAGTATCAAAAATCATGAGCTCTTGAAATTGATAACTTGTTTTCACCGGCTTGAGGTGCAATTTAGAATTCCAGTCAGTCTGGCCTGGCCGAGTGGGAGGAAGCAGTGACATAACCAACCGCAATTCTCTATAAAATAAAGTTCTTGATCTCTGTTTATCTTGTAAGTAAGTAGCTCATCATGAAGACGAAAACTCTCCTCGTGAACTTGCACTTGGCTTCAATAATTTTGAAAAAAATACGGAAAACTCAAACGAAACTAAGGAAGAACGAAAGCTTTAACCTCGGAAAATTTACGGAGTAGGCCAGGGTTTTTTTTATTGATTTAGTTTTATTGACATACTTTTCCAGAGACGAATTAATCAACTTAAAGTTTAAATTATTTCACAAAGTTACAAAACATGTCGAAATTCTAATTTGATTGATTAAATTATTTATAGTACACTGGTAAATGCAACATTTCAAAATACAGAAAATGTAAAGTCAGACGATAAGAAATGACCACACAACGAAATATGTAAACAACTACGAGACGAAGACCACCCATCATCAAAAAAGGACGTGGACATCACAAAAACTAGGCCAGTCTCACTCTTTTTTGGACATAATGTATCTTTTATGTGGACTGGACTGGACCAACAATCGTCCACGGACCCACATTATCTAATCTACATCACGTGCAGGTCCATTTATACCACACCACAACTTGCTACATATGTATTAATGACGAATTGTCTTATTTTTTGTTACTTTTTAAGTATCATCATTTCAATTGTTTGGAGACATTTTGATAAATTTTGAGAGCCTGTGACGCCAAACGCAACATTTATCAAAAACCAACCACTTTTAGAAAACTGGTATTAAATCATTACCGACCGGAGACTCTACTGGCACTTTTACCGTTTGGAAATGTTGCCGTAATGAAGAATTTACCACTCAGAAACAAACTATATTACCAATCCGATAAGAAGTTATTACCAAATCAATACCAGTCCAGAGTATAAGTGTAACTCTACCAGATTTTTAACAGTGTATTCATGTAAATGTCACCAAACAGATGAGAAAAATATGTACGGACCGACCCAGAAATAGAAAATTTCTGAAAATGTGTACCGTATTTTTGTGTCTGAGTATGATATCGTCATCATCATCATGACCAGACCAGTATGACATTTCATTTGCATAATTGGCACTGGGTCACTCTGTGTACGTACGTATAATAATATCGACCCGGCCGGAAAAGTGGATCCCTAACGACACGACTACACTACACACTTAAATGGTTCGAGGAGCAAGAAACAGATATCTACAACATAACGATTCTACTGACTACTTTAGTAATGTACATAATAACGGAACGGGGCATCTTCCATACGTAATGTGATGTGCGTGGAGTGACACATTTCTACGGAAACTTTAAACATGAAGAGTTTCCAATGAGGAAATGAAATTTTGCGGAGAAATGGGTGCGATTTGGGTTAGTATATTTTTTTACTGAATAATAGAAACATGGCGCTTTCATGACATTTTGGAAAAAAATTAGTTACCTACTTGGTTTAGTAACCTTACAAACCATAATTAGTAGCGAGGAAAGTAAATTTTGGATTACAAAAATTTCTAAAATTTTGCACAGAAATGTTCCCTATGTGTTTTAGCATATTTTTACTCAAAAAACGGGACATTGCGCTTGCATGAAATTTTTGCCCGAAAATTTGAGCCACTTGTACATTTATATTTAAAAACCTTACTACGAAACGTAATTTTTTTGAAGAAATCAAATTTTTACCAAAAAACTGCTTACAATTTTGCCTTCTTTTTCTACATGTATGCACACTCCCCCCGTCACCATCACTTCCAATTGTACTACTGGATCCTGGATGAGAGACTTTTGAACTCGTGGGTAGCTGAATTTTAAGTTTGTTCGCGTATATGTATGCCTCTCCTATCTCTGCGTTGTTTGTCCCGTTATGTGTCCTATAAGGATGGAAAGTGGTTTCTGTCTCGTAAGTAGAATAAAATAAAGTAAAACACAAAATAGGAAAGCAACTCACGACCCTAGACGGAGAGAGAGACCATGAAATGCGGGATCCTTCTCCCATCCAAAAATATGTTGCGACTGGGCTTTTATTTCCTTCGAAATAGACATTTCCACACTCCTAATACTCTATTTCATATGGAATGGGCACTTTCTCCCACCCTTCTCGGACCACTTTCGCCTCCTGTGATGATTCTTTATTTTTCAGTTTTGACTTTCATTTCATCTCGTCCCAGGCATGGCTCAATTTCAATGTTTGTTGTGCAGGCAGAGAGACCATTTCCATTTACTTTTCTGTGATGGGACGCTAGGTGAAAGGAGGAGTTGGAGTGAGTGGTTTGGGCTGCATGTATTTCCCTAAAGGTGGGTAACTTACGTTTTGGTGGGAGGGATCGTCAGAGGACAACAAATGTGTAAATATGCATGTTTTATTTTTCTAAAGGTGAGCTCTTGGTAACTTGCGCCAATGTTGGGATTTAACTATGGCGCAAGTTACGAAAGATCATCGGAGGACATCTAGATAGGTACAAAAATATGCATGTTTTCTCTTTTTTCTAACGGTGGGTTTATTTATACTAGACTTTGGATAACTTAGGCCAATGTTAGGATTTAACGTTGGCGCAAGTTTATAAATGCATCTTAAGGCCAGAGAAATGATATATTCGTATGTATGTACATTTCAGAAGAATATTGGTATCCACTTTCCCTCTAAAATAATTCTGATAATTATGTAATATGCACCAGACCACTTGAAAATTTAGACAATAGAAAGTTTAAATACTTGACAAAAACATGACTGTATAGAAACTATGAGGACTTTCTGATTAGCAGAGAGTCTGCAAATGTCACTATAATCACGTCTACATACTTACATACAAATAATAATCAATTCAGTACCAGCATGTGGATTCAATTATGCACAACTTTCTCCAATTCAACAAAATTCAATAATACCATTAGTTAGTTAGTAGATCATACCCAATTAAATAGAAATATCAGATAAATTTATTTGCATGTATCTCGTATACATGTCACAAACTTGACATATTTAGCTATCC